TTTGCTTTGCAATACGAGAAACATTTGAGATACGAGGAACCGGATCAGCGGGTCGGCCGGCTCATTTCCGCCAAATGCTGAAAGCGAGGAAAGCGTGACGAAAAAGGGCAAAGACCAGCGAAGAGATAAGCAGTGACGAAAATTAAGCGAAAGTAAAAAAAAAAAAAAAAACTTGAACAGTAGCATTTAAGTTTAATTAAGGTCAGTGAAATTTAGTTAAGTTCCATTAATTTTGGGTATAAAGTGTAGCATAAAGAGTGTAACGAGATAGTGAATTTAAGTGACCGACAGAGTGTAGCATTAACAGTGTAGCGAGTAAGTGAGCGAAGTGAAGCTCCTCGCCACACTGCACCTCCGCCACACTGCACCTCCGCCACACTGCACCTCCGCCACACTGCACCTCCGCCAGCATCTTCCGTCAGCTCAAGTCGGCTGACTTCCAAGGTTTATTTCTTGACATTCTTTTTTATTATGTTTTTATACTATATTTGTCATTTATAAATATATTTTTCTTATTCAAAAACACGTAACAAAAACAACTGGGGTGGCATTTCGGGGGCTGGAACGGAGTTAATGGCCTTTCTATTAATTTCAATGGGGAAAAGGTGCTTTGAGATACGAGCTAATTGACGTACGAGCAAGGTTACGGAACGAATTAAATTCGTATCTCGAGTTATCCCCCCGTATTATATGTGTTCACCTGCTGTGCTATCAGTTGATATAGTTCTTTTTAAATGTTTTTTTTCCTGTATATTAGAGTTTGTATTTAATATCAACTTAATTGTATAATTAAATTGAATATTTTTAACATCACTGTATAGCTTTGGTGTCGTATTTCTTAACATGCCGGTTTTCAGTCCTTCGTCGCGCATTGTTCATCTAACGAGCCACATGGTATGACTACAGATTAAATTTGTTAAACCATATAACGGTATGAACTTCAGTGGAAGTCGCCTTATCCAGGAAGCAGCCACTCCAAACTGCCCGGTACTAGAGAATGTCATGTTGACTCAACTGGCGCACCGTGACGCAGAAAGCGTCGATTGACCAAAGCCAAGTTGTCGAGTTCCGGGAAAATTCCATAAGTGGTTTTAATCGGTGAAAACGACAGTGACACGTTTGCGGGGCCTGCACCATGATGAGTAGTGTTGTAAGACCTTAAAGTGCCAACCGAAACTGAGGAGCTTCTCCATGTGCCCATTAATCTCTTTAATGTGCCCATTAATCTCTTCAATGTGCCCATTAATCTCTTCAATGTGCCCATTAATCTCTTCCATGTGCCCATTAATCTCTTCAATGTGCCCACATAAATTTTCATAGTGTCAACAGAGCTTCTCATACATTGGTTTTACCTCTGACCCCCCCCCCCCCCCCCCCCCCTCCCCCCCCCCCCCCCCACCCCCCCCCCNAAACTCGCTTTCGATTAAAAGTTCTTTTTTTTAAAAGAATTTTTAAAAGTTTCGTTAGATTGAAAAAAATTGGGGTATTTAACCTGTTTAAAAAAAAAAAAAAAAAATGGTTACTTTCCTCTTACTTTAATTTGTTACTTTAAATAGCCACCAAAAGGGGACTTACACTAAATATTTTCCCTACCCGCGCCATTGAAAGAGTTTGAATTTTATCTTCATTTCTAACTGTAGCCCGCCAAACAATGGCGGCCTTAATGCGTGACCTTACTTGAAAAAATATGGATTCAAGGAACGCACTTTGCGGTATTTTTAAGCATCTCATTTAGCAGAGTTATCGGGAATTTTGTTATGCACGCTATTGAACATTAGCGTACAAAATAAATGCTGAATCGTTGAAACGATTCATGGCGACCCTGTAGCGATTTAAAAGAAAAAGTTTTAAAGACCCAACTCATTAATAGCTGAAAGTTTCTGGAGTAGACTAATTGTGTTAAATTTAACTTTTGTCATGCGTGAGAGCCTGGAACCCCCAACACCCCCCCCCCTCCCCACTGGGCCAGCTACGCTCCTGATGGCAATGTGAGTTGAACTATGTTTGTAAAATACCTCATTTTGTCTTACAATCAAAACAATAATATTTTAAAAAGTTTTTTTAATCCCAACCTCTCACTTCTGACAACCGGGCGGGTGCGCATAGCCACTTCGAAGTTGTTATATGCTGTCAATAAATAAATCAAACCTATGACTTACTTTAAGCTAACTGTAATTTGGCACTAGTTAGCCCAGTGGCCCATAGTGATGTTTAGCCGGCATCGATGACAACGTTGTTGCGGACGCGGACAACGTGGCTTCGATAAAGCTGGACAAATCCGGAAAGTCCTCGCAGTTGGGTTTTCCAACTGGGATTTAGCGTGTGAGGTTAACCTCTAGCCAATAGAAAAGCACATTTTTAGGCATGTGACAATTTCAGCCAATAAAAATACAGAGTTTTTAGTAAGCATCTATTTATAGATTCTGCAATTTCATTGAAGGTAGTGTTAAAGTGAATTCCAAAGCGGTCGGACGTTAAGCATTTTACTCTAACATTTTCGTGATTTACCCAAGTGAAAGTTCAAATATTGTTGACGCTAAGATGACACTACCAGAGACAATGGATAAAGAAAATGTATCAGAATCAAGGTAAGGGCTTATTTGGATTTTAATACTTAAATAATTATTTAATTCATAAATACCAGATGGAGAAGCGAAGTTTAATTTCGGTTACCTAGTGATATCCCAAGCTGGTATACGTAGGCTGTACGGCGTATTTCGTCAGATTGGGGGTCGCTCGTAAAAGTACATGTTACATGTATGTCATAGGGTCATGGTGTTCCGTCTTTAAAAGCAAAGTGTATTATTATGGAGTATATTTGGCTTGACTGTTGATTGTTTATTTGTATAAAGTGCGTCACCTTGATTATTTTATCGAAATTCGTTTTAAGAATAGCCTCGAAACATCCCCCAGCCCCACTTCACCCTTTCAGTGTCTCATCATGCGCTTGCTATTTCACAATAAACACAGGCCCTACTCTGCCTCTGCTTACCACTAGTAGTGGCACTACTAATCATAAGAATCGAAACTAGAGGCACAGGGCTGCTTTACTTGCGTTTACATAATATGATCAGTCAATGACACTACATTTCATGACATTTGCCAAATTATTTGCAACTCAGATTTTTCAGTTAGGCCTAACAACAACGAATAAAATACAAAATAATTTGCTCAAATTCTTTCTTCTTAATCTTAAATTCAGAAGTTGGAATCTTATTTATATAATATGACGTTAATTTTTTTTTTTTTCAGAAGGCTCAAACTCAAAGCTATGAGCCATACCTTGAGAGCATGTTTGAAGCAAGCCTTGAGGAGAAATGGACTTACCTGTGGCATGAAAGCATGTGGAGAATTACTTAACAGGTTTGTTAATGTTATATAATTGTGATATAATTATTGTAATAACATGTACAGCTGTTTGTATGCTTCTGCATATGTAGTTGTTTAAAAGCTACCAGTACTTACCTAGTGTAAGCATAGTTGTTTGCAAGTGTATAAAAGATGTGTATATTTTGCAGGTTAGTTGTTTAAAAAAAAAATTGGAATGGCTGATGGCAGGCAGTATGTCGAGAACGAAAGTGGACTGGGATTATTATTTTTTTACATTTGGATTCACCCTTTAAAATCCCGAACTGAAGAATTAAAATTCTCATACCACATAGACTGTCTCAGGAAAATGTGAAATTTGTAAGTATCAGCTAAACAGATCTGAGAAACACAAGCAGAGGATTGATAGTCAAGTCAAATGGAGTTGCATAGGTTTTTAATGCTGAAACACTCGTGACCATTACCAGGTCCAGAAAATGGCAGATATAAACCTTCTGATTTAAAGTCATGTAGTAATGAGTCAGCATAAAGAGTGATAGAATTTATACACTTTGTAGGTCTTAGTTCTGTGCTTCCAAGCGTCAAGGGATAGCACTGGGTAATGTTTTCTGTGATGTAAAATAGTTTTGAATTGCTTTAACTTTGCTGAAATAGTTATTTATAATTTTGATTTCTTTTCTTACAGCAACCCCAGCACAGTGATGGTTTGCCTGTTGCCAGGCGACTGTCAGGATATAAGTGTGCACATTCATCAAACACTGATTCATGCTTTCTGTAGGGAGAACAACATCTTGGTCATCCAGATGAAAGATGACACAAAACTGGCTGCTCTCCTTTACAAGCTTTCCGAAGGAAACAGTGTTCGCAAAGGCAGGGTCAACGGCAAGATGGATGACACAAGCTGCTTGTTGATGCAGGTAATTTAATTTTACAAAAAAATAATAAGATGACCATTTAACTAAGAACTAGCGTGAGGTTAATTGAGTAGAGAACATTAATTGGCTGCTCACAAGCCATGTTGTTTGTTTGTCACTTGAAACCTAAATACCCAGAGGCACAGGCCATAGATGATATTTAGTAATGTGGCCAGCCACTAATCAAGGTCAACAGCATTGACCCAAAGATTATAAACCAGTTTTTAATTGACAAAATTTTAAGTTTAAAGCAATATTTCTAATATGACTGTGATATTATACCGCTGCCCTTAGTATGTGATGTATTTCTTTAAAATTTAACATCACAACTAAATGCACACACAACATCTAGATCCAATTGTATTTTAGGTTAAATTTATCTGTTGTACCGAGTACTGCTAGATATAACATTTTAATTGTGCATTATTATTTTTTTTTTACAGTTCCCTAAAAGGGGCCCAAGCAAAGACGACCAGTTGCTGTTCCAGTATTTTGAAGAGCTATCAAAGCAGTGCTATCCAATGCCTCATTTATCTTTACCTGATTGACTATAATTTTATGGTTTCTACATGAACCCTAAAAAAAAAAAAAGGTGAGAGCTAGTAATGGATTACCAAAATATTATAGTAGAGATGCTGGATTTTAGTTTATTTCTTTTAAAATTTCAAATACAGTTTCAGGTTTATTTATTTTTTAAAACTAACATGATGGAATTGTAATGTCTCTATTTATGAATTAAATTTAAATGTAGTATATCTTTTCTTCTGCAGACTGACATTGTCAGCAGTGTATATGGATTTACATACACTCTGTACAAATCTCACACCATTTCATCCATTTGAAGGCGTGATGTTGAATTCTGTAGAATTCTGTATATGACCTTCGTCCACCTGAACAGTGAAGCTCTCCTTAAGGGCAATTGTGTTTCTGTAAACACCCATTGTAAGGGAAATGGGCACAGTGGGCCATCATTCATGATCTTTTTTTAAAGATTGTGAAGTTTCAAAAAGTTTTAACTTAAGTTCTGATTGTGTTATTATAACAGCATGAGTATTATTATATGAAAAAAAAAAATCATAAATTCAGATGGATCATTTACCTTTTTGGATGTACTCAGTCTTTATAAGCTCATAGAATGCTGTTAATCAAAGCTAGTTACTGTACCCGGTATAATCAGAGATTTGATCTTTTAGAGCTAGGTTGTGTTCATGAAATCAACCCAAATGTCAATACTGAAGTTATCACTGTACTGGAATATCATCTTATATGGTCCTGTCATTTTTACTAAGAAGCAACATGTGGTTAGCATTATAATTATAGTACTAGTAAATTCTATTGGATTTCATGAGGTCTTGTCATGCTTTGTAACTAACAGTACTATCACTACAATAAATTGTGAGTTGATTCAATTTTATTTTAATAATTTAAATGTATTGCATGTAAATAGTGTATTATTTTGTAAATAAGATATATGCTTGCTTATTCTTGATGTTATACTGTTGCCCTGTTATGTTAATAAGTTTGCGCTTTGTTAAAGTATAACTATAACATACCAGATTATTTATTGTTTTATGAGCTTATATAATCAGTATAATAAAGTTTTCAAATGAAATTTTCACATTGTTTTCTCTTTTATTTTTATATCATTTTAAATATTGTTTTGATGTTGTCTTTCTTTGAAATTTGTAATAGCTTGGTTACTTTGTCATTCATTCAATTTCAACAAATCATTTGAAATATTGGCAGAAGAAACAGCAAATTAGTAAAGTTGGACTTAATCATTTCTTTCTCAATTAGTTGATAAATGATTTAGACTTAGTTTTAGTCATTGGCAGAAGATCATATTGCTTGAACAACTGTCTATATTTAATCAGACTAAATATAAGAAAAGTTTCATACCAACAATAACCTCAACATCACTTGATAATAATTAACACTTGGGCTACACACATGTTGAATACCGGTAGTTTTATTATGACAAGAAGACCATATAAATATAACACTTATATTATAAATAATTGTATAAATCTCTTTTTGTGTGTTTTTTTAAAAATAATGAAATTACTAATGGTTTAAAAGTCTCGATGAAACAAATCCAAAAACAAAGTGGTGCCATTCACATACACAACAAACACTGGGGATAAAACTTTTCATAAGCTTAGGTCCAAATATATGCAATAAATTACTGTTGCTTTCAATTTCAAGGTCATTGTGATAGTAATGTGACTGTATCAATTTCTATTAACTTCAAAGGCTTGAAATTATTGACACCAACAATGAAATAAAACCAACACAATTTGAAATGGCTACCTCGACTATTTCAATGGCTTCTCAAAATAAGTGTTTAACCATAGCAGCAAAAAATTTGCTTTGTACAGCAGAGCTGTATACAAAAGATTTACACAATATTTTTGGATATTTGTATACATATGTAAAAATTAATTAAACAAATATAAATTTAAGTTGAAATAATTCACTTCTTAAATATATTTAACATTACCAAAATTACGGGTACTTTGAAACAAAAAGATGCAGAATGTTAACCTTTGACATAAGGTAAAGTGTTTTTGTGTGGTCCAAGGGAGGTAATGACAATCTTGATATAAAAATTGGGATGAATCAACTCAATCAAACAAGTACTGGTATACTAATTGTTGCAATAGTAATAATCTTTAATCATCTTGATATTTTTCTTATTCATTTATATATAAAAAAAGAGTAAATAAATAATATCTTTTAATGATGCTTAAAATTTGTCAGAGTTTTTTTTAATGATTTTGTGTACGGTACCAGTACATAATTTAAAATAATTAATTTGCAATTAGCATGACAATTCCTTTTCACTATTACTATTACAGTATAATGCTATTACTTTGAATTCTGAGGTATGGCTTTTGAAAATGCTATTGTTAAAACCATTTTCCATTTCAAAAGATGGTCAATCATTTTTTTTTTTTTTCTGGCATCCGTTCGTCACAATGTGACGATGGAGTGGGCTTCGGAGGACGAAATCCACATGCCCTGGGATTATACTTGAAGGATAAGCTGGTTCCCAACAGCAAATCGCGTCTCTCCACGCCGCTGGGTAACCCAAAGGGAACATTATTGGATGATACAGCTTGGCACCAGTGACGTCGCAGGAGTTGTCGGAATGTTTCATTGTAACAATGTGATCCGCCTTTCGGGACTCCATCTCCAGGTTTGATTTCAGAGTTTCCTTCTCTAGATGAGTTGCCGTCCAAGGTTAACGCGTCCCATCTACCCGGGGCGCTGGTGGTGATTTTGCTTGACTGGGCTCTTGCTGGAATTGAACTCCAGACCATCAACTTGAGATTTGCTCAGTTTTAGACCACTCGGCCACCCAGCACCCTATCAACCGTAACAACCAATATATTGCACACCCAGCACCCTATCAACCGTAACAACCAATATATTGCACAGTCTAAACTCAGAAATACAGATATAATTTTAGAAATCTACTTTATTTTCTCACAGCACTGTCAGTAACTCATGGAGGATGATGAGTCAATTAAAACTAAACACAACAAATTATTATCTCAAATAGAAGTGACAGGAGAATTTAGTAAAGGGTTAACCATATTTTCTTAACCAGGATAGCTTCTTGAGAATATAAAAAGAACAATACTAAATTCAGCAATGGTCTAAATTTTATATGTTTTAATTGCAATGTACTTTTACATTTACTATTTCAAAACAAGATTAAAAAATATAATAATTTACACAATTTCATGTAAATTTATATTAAAACTTCATAGAACATATTTTCTGTTAGATATATATATATATAAGCATATAGACAATCAAAAATAAAATACACAACAACTTAGGAGACTCTTGAATTATGAAAGTCTTGTTTCCAAATGAACTCCTCCTTATAAGAGTTTCCAGTGCTGCAGCTCTCTTTGCAAGTATATACGCACAGAGTACCCCAGTCTACACTGGAATCCAGCTTGTCCACGGAGAGGTAATTCAGCAATTGAGGCATCACCTGTTAAATATAAAGGCCATTGATAAAAAAAATTGAGTAAATAAAATCCAATGTTTACAAAATAAATATTAATATTAGACATTCATGGATTCCTAGCACATATAATATATAAAAAATATAGTCTTATCTCCACTGTCATTGCAAAAAATTGCTGTTGTCGTACAAGTTCCTTCTGGGATAAATTTGGAATGTTAAATTTTAATTTTCAACATATTTAATATTTAGATCAAATAAATTGTAATGATGATAAATATTTTTTTTAAAAAAATGAGTTATGTTATACAAGTCTTAAAAAAATAAATGTATGTATTAAAAAAATCTTAGCAGGCCAAAATATGATAAAAATAAAATGGACCAAATTACATTTTGAACCAAACACCTTTCTTGCAAAAATAAAACTTATTTCACAATTTAAGAGCTGCAGAAAAGATAAAAAACATTTCATGTTATAAAAATACTTTCTAATTCTTTAAAAGAGCAAACTTAATCTCAACTCTATAACAATTTCACTACAAATGAACGAAATATCATAACCTGTGATCACAGATACAGATAGTTCTATATAATATATTTAAAAAAACCAACACATTTAAGTTTAAGACAATTATTGAAATTAACAGAAGAATAAAAAGAACAAGAACCTGAAATTCAAATATCCTCTGAGAGCCACATGAACAAAAAGGGATGTCCTCGGGGGATGGTTTGTGGTGTGCCGACACCCAGAGAGGTTCACCCCCCTTTTCATATCGCAACACCTGAAATTAAACTTCATGTTATGAGCACAGCATAGAGGAAAAAAATCCACTTGAAAGAAAGTTCATTAATAAAAATATAAAATGTCAATAAGAAAATACGCTTCCAAATGCATTGGGAATCATTCACAAAATACCTGAGATGGCTCGGTATCCACTCTTCGTTTAAATTTCAGAAACAACTTGTCATCCTCTGTTTCAGCAGTGGCCGACTTCTCTAAGTCCTCGGCCTGGTATTTTCCATCTAATTCTTTGAGCTGAGGAGATCTGATCAAATTTTCATACTCCAACAAACGCTCTTCGTCACTCTTGCTGTTGTTGCTATCTCCTTCTGAGTACTCTTCATCTTCAGTGACCAGTTCATATTCCTTAAACAGCAGCCTAGAAGACTGTTTCTTATCTGCATGTGGAATAATATTTTCTCATTAGTAAAATGTTGGTCAGAAGCCTTCAGATTCTCCTGGTGCAGGTAGTAATCATTATCCTTATTTCTAAGTAAACATACATAACCAATATTTGATCAATAAATGATTAATTGCAGTCTCATAAACTGGTATAAGATTTGATTGAACATACTACGTCTTAGTGGTTAAACCATCAACAAACAAAAGGCAACAATTATAATTATAACCAGGGCCTTCAACATAGATGGTTAAGGTGGGCAGATCTGCCACAGATAGGCTACAATGATTTTGAAGCAGTGTTGTAAACGAAACTTATGTAAATGATGACGCAGAAGTCTTAACAAATTAACATCTATCTGTGAAAGCTATTTTAACCCGTACCATGAATTTAGTATTTTTTCCATGATTTTGATGCTTTCATCACTGCATTCTACAGTGTTACATAGTTAAGTTATGGACAAAAATTGCATTTATCATCCCTGTAAACGCAGCCCAAAGAACACCGCAGTAAATAAAGATGAGGCAACAATTACAGCGGGACATATACCATTAAATGGCAGATTTGTTAGACATAAAGCTTTAACCCTTTGGAGATAGAGTCTAATTTAGAGTTTCAGTGCCAAGAAGATTTAGCCCTTTCAACACAAAAATTAATTAATAAATTATAAAGTAATTACTTGACACATATAAAACTATCTATATTCTTGTAGGAAATGAAATAATACAACTTTTATGAATACAACCATAATGCCAACTTTTATTCAAATGAGCTATCCTGATTTGCATAATTATAAGCAAGCAATTTATTTGTTCTTCCTCTTATGCCTTTTTACCCCATCTGGGGCTTAGGCCGCCCATAAGAATTTTCCCTTCATCACAGTCCTGTGCTTTCCTTTCCAGTTGCTTCCAGGCGTATCCTATATTTTGCGTATCTGCCTCTAGCTCGCATCTCATATTCTTTGGCCTTCCTCTCTTTCTTTTTCCACTTAGAATAAAATCATCTTTAAGTACTAAGATAGTTTTTATTTTCACCCTAATAAAAATGCAGCCTCATCTGATCAATCTGTCTGATCAATCACCCTCATAGAATTATTATAGTCCAAAACAGTCACCATTTTTTTTAAACAATCTGTGGTGCTTCTCCGGCTTGTGCGCTCCTCAAATTAATCAACTTTTATCTGCTTTGTTCTTGGTCATAATTAGCAGCAGAGTTTTTTCTAGGACTTCTTCTCTCTGTACACTGTTGCCAGTGTTTCACCTTGCAATAATCTAGCCAGGTTGAATTTTGACTTTCAAGCCTTTACGAAGTTCTTTTGTGTTTTGTTCCATAGTTCCAGTAATAAGTGTGTGAAGCTTGACCAAAACACACACAAGTGGCATACTTGTGAAAAAGTTTGACACAAACATGGGATCTCCTCCTCAAATATGAGCCAAGTCTAAGGAATCTCATGACAGCTCTGTGAGCAAGCCCGAGATCATTGTTTGCTGCTTAGCCAGTGATATTGTCTTATTTTCATCTGCAGATGAAAAATCCAAGTAGATAGGCTGAAACTGACACACAATCACAAAGCTTATTAAGTTTCAATCCCCATTTGTATTGTTTCGAAAATACTGATACTGGATCTTGCTTTTTGTCCAGATTGGGCTGCCATCCAAACAACCCTCTATGGGTGGGGTTTAGTGTGATGTCTAAAAACACAATTGCATGTTCAACTAGTGGATCAAACCTTGTGCAAGGGTTGTAGCAATTTTACCCCGGTCTAGGCAAATGTGGGCTGTCAACCATGTGAAAATATTTCAAGTTCAACCCAAAACCATTCTCTACACTTGACTTGAGGGGACCATGGTGTTCTTTGACAGCTGGATGTAATACTGTAAAACTGATTGTTGGTATATGGATCAAAATTTATGGAGCCAAAACTCAAAACCATGGAAATATATTGCTTTAATTTGCACCCTGAGTGACACTGTAACAGGCACTCATTGAAGTTATTTGTCTTTCTGGCAAACATTTGAAGGATAAATGTTAATAAAAATATATTTTTTAAAAACTTTTTGAAGAAAAAAAAAAGACTTCTATCAAAGATGATTAAAAATGCACTAAAAAGAAGACAATAATTTAACATTACTTAAAATGTATTTTCTAATGTTTTGTGCGTTTTATACTCATCTTTGATAGAAAGTCTTTTTTAAAAAGTTTTTAAAGATATATATTTTTTTTCTACTTTTTAGTATTAAAATTTTTATCTTTAAATTATCCACAAAAGTAGAATTATTTACTATTTTAAACATCAAATGCTTACAAAATCCAAGTTAACGTGACATAAAACTTAAAGTAGATCTGCGCTCACCCACCCAACCATTTACGCAAAGATGTAGATACGGTCCACCACAATAATTTGAGTGACAGTGTCAACCCACCTCTGTCGACCCAATATTCTTTTCAAGCCATTCACCATGTGAACACTCCACAAGAAAGACTCAATCTTAAAATGTCAAGTGTGTAAATAAAAAAATTACGATCCACAAGGAATTGTAAATAGAGGGTAAGTCTTTAGAAACAGCATTAAGTAATACACACTGGGGTGCTTATGCCTTTCTAAGAATTGACAGGGGTCATCTTTGTCTAGTTCATCCTTAAGTCTAAACCTAGGGATCACAACAATATCATCACATTATCATTTAGAGCCACTCCAATACCTCCCTGGTTGTTTTTACCATTTTTAGTGACTGATTCACTGCCATTCTGAGAGAAACCAGACGCGCTAAGGATATTTTTACCAGTGTCACTGTCTGACATGGTAAAATTTGACAATATTCACTTGGTTAAAAGTTGATTCACATAAAAATTGATGTAAGTGAAAAAACACAGAAAATGATAAATGGATGTGGCCATTAAAATGCATTATTTGCTAGAGGCAATCTGACTAGCTGGTACAAAGGCCCATTGTCCTTCGCCATTTTACACTCTCTGGCCGATCTGTCCTAGCTCTTAACATGGCAAGTTAACTTTGTTTGCTGTGTACACACATTAGTACAACAACAATCCTTAAGTCTACAATCCTTAACTCATTCCCCCCTGAGCACTCACTTCCTGTTTATATTCATTTTCCTGGACAAGGGAAGCTACTCTGATTTTCATACCATATGTATATTTTGTAAAATTGTTTTCGGTACCTAAATATTAATCAATTTAAACAAAAAAAATACCATTGCATTTAGAAATGGATAAGCTTTCAGAAAAGTATAACATTACCGGTACAACAAGACCAAATGACAACACAAAATAAACAAAAATGCAACAGATGTCATTTTTAGCTCTTTTTTCTGAAATTTATTTTAACTTTAGACAAGTTTATTTTATGTTATCGTGATAAGTGCTGTAGCACTGTCCAGCATGCAAATGCACTTGGCATAAATAACATCCTTTGGTTGTTTCCTTTGTTCTGCCGCTGGGCATTTTTGCTCCTTTCACGGCACACTGAAAGCATCTGCGCTTTCTCCCCGGCATCGTAGACAGCCTATGCTTTGGGCTGTAAGGTCTTGCAATGCCAGCAATACTTGGCCTGTTCAGGCAAGAAGAGCTAGATGCAGGGGCTCTTGATTTTAAATTCAGTAACTGTTGAGCCAGTTTAGCACGAAATTTTAGGTGGCACTTGCTAAGAGGAGAAGTAGGGTTCACATTTTTCATGAGTAGATATCCATTTACTATCGACACCTGGATTAAATACCAGAAGAGGTATCGCCACCATTTCTTGCTTGGTCTTCCCACCGGATAATATGAACGGTGCTGGTCACCTAAATCCACCCCAAACATATAAGAATTATAAGAGTCCACACTGCAGGGGATTTCAACGTGAAGTATCCCATCTTTGGATCTCCGCTCGACGATTGTCATCTGTGGATTTGAATTTGTTGATATCATATTCACCTGGCGCTTGTCTGTCCATTGGCAGGCAACAAGTAAACCTTTTTGTTGCATAATGTAGTCACCTTTTTTTTGTTTTGATTTTCTAAGAGGCCAGCCTTTGCGGTTGGGTCTAATGGTGGCACAGCAATAGGTGTCACGGGCAAGCAGGTCCTCTGCCAGCTTGGGCGAAGAAAAAAAATTATCAAAAAAAAGCTCATGCCTTTTGTCCAAAAAGGGCTCGGCCATAGCCATGACGACATCATAGCCCAATCCATTGGTAGAGCACGCCTCGCTTTTACCAGTGTACACTTTTAAGTTTAAAACGTACCCTGTCTTGGCTTCGGCACAGCACCAAATTTTCAAGCCCCAGGGAGTAGGCTTATCTTTCATATATTGCTTAAATCCGAGTCTTCCCCTAAACCCGACCATGGCTTCATCGACACTTAGTTGTCTCTGAGGCTTGTATAGTGACAAGCATTGATGTCTTATGTGGTCGAGAAAGGGCCTAACCTTGTAGAGGGGATCGTAATGTTGACTGTCCTTGGCGGGTTGAAGAGAGCTGTCGTTGACATGAAAAAAACGATGAATCATCTGGTAACGATCTCTGCTCATGACGTCAGCCACTGCAGGGACCCTCCACATACTGTCAGAAGACCAGTATAGTCTCATATCAGGGACTTGATGTAAGCCAAACATGATATTTATATATATATATTTGTAAATGTCATCTGCATTGACTGGAGTCCATGTTATAGCAGATGCCCTAGGGCCAGACTGCTTAGCCAATTGCTGCTTTGCATATAAATTTGTTTGTAAAACAAAATCATCAATACATTTATCTGTCACAAATAGTTTTAAAAAGTCTATAGGTAGCTTGTCAATTGGAATATTACGTAGACTCCCTACATATTCCGAAAATACGCCCATATTTTCTGTCACATTGGACAGTCCATCAGACCATTCCACGCCACTAGTATTAGCAGTATTAGTGTTAGTATTGGTCATCGAAGTAGGACTATCAAGTACAGAATCATCATCAGAAGAATCACTAGATTCTGAACTCAGTTCATTCACTTCAATATCAGAACCCTCATCTAACAATTGTTCATTTCCATCGATAAGGGATTGAAGAAACTGGAAGGCCATTTTCAAAATTTCACAAAATAAGTCACAAAAAATTTCACTACGACCCGACTAGTTCAAACACGCTTTGAAAATGAACGAAATGAGATAAAAACTTCCGGTTTTTTTTATTGAATGCTCGTGGATTCTCGCTACCGCGAGACTATCATTAGAAATCTCGGGGATGCGTGATTTTATAACTAGGGAGAAAAGAAAAGTAGGGGGGTGTGACCAGACGCATTTGGACGCATCCGCCGAAACCCCAGAAAGACGCATTTAGTCGCATCCGTCGTGAATGAGTTAAGTACACAAAATAATATCCTGATCCCTTGCAATAACTTGGGTGATTTTGGGTTACCGGTGAGGCCGACGATGTGTTCCAAGGTATATAGGTCATGGAGGTTCCTCCAGGTCCACTTCTATCTACAGCGATGTTTGTATTCACATAATTAAAAATGCAAGTTATTGTTTTCTTATTTTATATTTTTTTTTAAATTGGGGTGGGGGTACTGGGAAGGGGTCTCCCCTCCTCAGAAGATCACTCCGAATGCAATTTAAGCAGTAGTCTCCCCCTTTTTACCTAAGTTTCAACATACAGGTATTTTGATTTCAACTAATCAAAATACGTCAGTTTTGGCGGGAATCTTTTTTTTCCACCGGTGTTGGGTCTTGGGGTATCAGCAAGGATGTGTTTCTTTTTTACTTTCTTTTAAAGCGTGTAAGTTGAAATTTAATACAAATTAATATACTTCATTTTAATATACTTCATATTAACCGTATCCTTTATGACGCGAATAATGCTCAATAAAGAACAGGAATTTTATCATGCACATCGTTCGGGTCCTACAATGAATAGGTCTTTTCACTCAACGTCCAGTGTTGGGATTCCCCAAAGTGACGTCACTGTGCTTAGGGTGAGAAAAACTATTGGCAAAACCCATACCGTTAACCCAAAATTTACCCAATAACTTATTTACTAAAGTAAATTATACCGTACTAAATAAGTTTTAACTTTGTCATACCATTCTTTATTTCTTGTAGACATGTTTGTTTGTGACCTGATTTCCAGTCCAAAACCTGATGTTCTTTACTACAGTAGTGGGTATTTTTACATTGAGAACACTTCTTAGTCCCTCTTATACCACAAACAAAGCAAAGACTTTGAAACAAACCAGCATGTGGAAATATGGTAATATCTTCATTTGGAGTCAGCTCTTCGGAAGGAGGTGAGTCACTATAAAAATTATTTACTAGAGGCAGCTGTGATCTAAATATTCTAAAATTAGAACTGTCTTCAGGAGTACAACAAGAGGTATTAGGACACATGAAAATAAAAATAGTTCGATGAAATGTGTCCTCCCTCATCTGAAGCGGAGCATACACTTGCATTAAGAAAACTGTTGTGCTGTTGCATTTCTGGCATCTTAGATCGTCAAAATCAGGAATAGGGTCTAATGATAGCCATGCAGGCTTTCCGCCAACTTTGCTGGGAAAGAAATGACTTGATAACAAGCGCAAATCTGTATCATCTTCAATAAAGCCTAACTTTACACGACTTTCACACATGGAGTTCGCCATGATTGTTTACAAGTAAATTTGAGGGCAGTTCCGGTTTTTGGTTGTTAGTAGAAGGGAAAGAACTGTGGTATTTTTTTAGACGACAAGCGTTTCAGTTACCAGCCTTAGCCTTGGCCCTTATCTTATCAAGTCATCGGTCCGAATAATTTAGTATGTGAATATAAAAAAGCAGTTTTTAATGACCATAAGCTGGAAAAAAACCCACAAAAATATAGCAAAATTAGCTATCTTAATGATACATAGTAGCTACATTACATTTTCATTGACAAATACTGGGCAAACGATACTCTTATAATTTTGAGCAGTGACCTAGGCCTAGGAAAAGAAGTGCGGAGGGCGCGCTCCCCAGGTGGCACTTTTTCTATATATTGAGGAGTGCATTTTCGGCCAGATGCATTTTTTTTCGTAGGAAGTAGACACATTTATCTATACAAATACAAAATTTTTGTAATATAAATAAATATATTTCCCATTTAAATATTTTTCATGATGTCTGGATTCATCAAAATTGAATTTTTCAGGATTTTTTAAATTTTAAAAACGAATTAAACACTATCTTGAAAACCAGAGCTGTTACGTTAAATGCACTCCAATTTTCGGAATCAGCGCCCTAAATAACATTAGGAACTAATAGGAACAGACCTAAAACTTTAGGCACCACGAAAAAATGATTTAATTTTTTTTTATTGACCTGTGCTATTTAACATATGATACTAGGAATAGCCCACCAAAAAGTGACGGCGGCAATGTGTGAACGTCCAATGTACTGAAGTTACTTGACATAACATGCATTCCAGTAACGAACTTTTTAAGAATCTCAATTAGTGATAACTTTTGAGAATGTTATTATTGCGTGCCTTTTGAAAACTGTTTTACAGCCATACATACGAACTTAGAAAATTATTAAACTGTTAATGATTTTCGAAACGGAAATATCATTACATAGATAATTCTATTTTAAAATACGGAATTGTGATGGGTTTTCGCAATAGCAGGTGGAAATTATCGCAAACTGCCTGCCATTGTTATCTCGATTACATCGAGTGATGTTTTCTGGTTTGAAGTAAAATTTAAACCAACAATAATTGTATGTGGTTTAATGATATATTAACTGTTTTAAATAAACAGGGACACGAAAAGCTACTTTCTCCTTTGTTAAAACAAATAATTAAGGGTTGTGAAACTAATCTTAATTCCAGGTTGTATCAATGTGTATTTTAAGGACAAAGGGTCATACTTTGACAACTGGGCGAGCATTTATTTAATGAGTTAAAAAAATTATGAGCATAAAGGTAACACAATTAAAGGGGTAAAAAGAGAGGGAAAATAAACCCAAATTAAGGGCTGATCAGTGTATTTTCTGACATGACACAGAAACAACAGAAAATACCAGGTACTTAGTTTACGGTCTGAAGAATGTTATCTCCGCTCTAGACATACATAATGTAAAACAAAATATTATAAAATAATAAGAGAGGCTTTTGATTCCGGCCCTGAATCATCACCAGTGGCACTACAGCCCATGTAGGGCCCTGGGTTGCTCCATCAATCCTTCCATTCATACAACATCACCAGTGGCACTACAGCCCATGTAGGGCCCTGGGTTGCTCCATCAATCCTTCCATTCATACAACATCACCAGTGGCACTACAGCCCATGTAGGGCCCTGGGTTGCTCCATCAATCCTTCCATTCATACAACATCACCAGTGGCACTACAGCCCATGTAGGGCCCTGGGTTGCTCCATCAATCCTTCCATTCATACAACATCACCAGTGGCACTACAGCCCATGTAGGGCCCTGGGCTGGTCCATCAATCCTTCCATTCATACATCATCACCAGTAGCACTACAGCCCATGTAAGGACCTGGGCTTCTCCATCACATCCTTCCATTCATACATCATCACCAGTGGCACTACAGCCCATGTAGGGCCCTGGGCTGCTCCATCATAATGTAGATATCGGCATCCTTCCGTCTCGTGAGACGATGGTGCATCACCGTTGGGTTGGGTTGCATTTTCTCGAGTGGCTGTGCAGTCCTATCCTTGAGTGACAGTCTTTACCACAGTTTTTACACACGAGTTCTGTGCTTCCAAATGTTTTGGCCTTTCTCCTAGCTCTTCTGTCTGCAGCCTCTTCCATTCTTCGCTCCTCGGCTACCATGACGCCCTCTTTGACAACTGTGCGCCACGTAGATCGGTCTTTTGCCTTACACTCCCAGTCACTTGTATGTATTTTGGCTGCTTTCATGTCCCTTTGACAGACATCTTTAAATCGCAGACGTGG